AACGTGTTGCCCCCAGGCTGTTTGGTGGGGTAGGCGGTGGCAAAGTACGAAGTGTTTATTTCACTTTGGAATCTCAGCCATCTTAGGCGGATATCTTGGGGAAAGAAGCCGGAAACCTCACACATGAGCCACGACGACATCTCAGGATAGGTGGATGTGGCCAGGAAGTTCACAGAGAGGTTGCTGGGTGCCATAGTCTCTGCAAGGAGAAGGGGTAAGAGGCATATTATCTTGTCACTTGACCTGGAAGTATCTAGAAACTTTTGAGAGGATAGAAGACACCCTCTTTTCTCATCTAACTACAGCGATGGCCTGAGCACCATTGGAGGAAGGAGAACGTATGGGTACAGCCTTAAGGTGGGGTGGGGATAGGTTTCACCTGGATCACAAGGTTGCTCCTGCTTGGGACCCAAGGGCTTGATAAGTAAAGGCCTATGCTGGAGGCTGGAGACATTGTTTCTCCTGGTCACTGTCTAGTTTAGTGTCTAGGAATGCCCAGTGCCCCCTGAATAGACCCCAGGCTTTGTTACTGTGTGACTTCTTGCCAGTATTTGGGAATGTAAACCGGGTTTCTTTGGTGCTTCATCTACTCTCCATGGCCAACAGTTTGTATTTTGAAGGCCAGACTAATCCTAGGCTTTCTATCTTCTAACCTGGTGATCTCTCTCTCTCTCTCTCTCTCTCTCTCTCTCTCTGTGTGTGTGTGTGTGTGTGCACTTGTGGTGGTGGGCACTGCCAGTGAATTTGTGGATGGGGGTGAAACATTCCTTCTCTTGTACTTATGAGATACATGTGCTCAGGCTACGGCCACCCTGGAGCTTTGGAGACTGCTCTGGCCTGTCCCACAGAGCCCTCAGATCCTCCCTTAGCCTGAAAGGTGAGGGAACCTGTCTTCCAATTCTTGGAGTGGCACTGGTTTTGGAGGTCCTAAGAGAGCCCTTCTTTCCATTAATATGCCTTTCATGCTTTCTGTGTGTATCTTTTAGTTCTTGTTCTAGCAGAGACCCAGTAGGCCCTCTTGGATGTTCCTAGAGGTCACAAGTTTCTCATTGCTCAAGGACATTCTTCTAAAACTTATACCTGTATTTTCAGGCTCACACAGCTAATAAACCACCAAGCTACAAATCTGCAGTAGTTCCAGGGTCAACTCTAACACAAGGCCTCTTTCCTCCTTTTTTTTTCTGCCTTTCCCTTCTTATCTCATCTTTCAGCTTATTTCTATTTGGAGACAGGACTTTTCCCATATCTGACTTATTTCACTTAATGTAATGTCGTTAGGGTTTATTCACACAGCAAATGACAGGATTTCTTTCTTCAGTAGAACAGAGTCTCAAATATTTCCTTTATCCACCCACTGACGGGCCCTTGAGCTGATTGCACTACACTGAACCGGGGAGTAAGGGCAACTGTTGAAATCCTGCCTTTAAAGCTTATACTCAGAAGCCAAATTTCTGGATTGCACAGTAGGTTTGGCTTACACTTTGGAGGTCATGTGACTTGGGGCAGCACCCCCCCCCCCCAGGGTGAAGTTCATCAGACGTTCTTTCTTATGTGTTTCAGGTGACAGCTACTTTTAGTTTTGACTTGAGTTTATCTGATAACTAGTGACGCTGAACATTTTTGATAGATAATCTTTTAAGAAATTTTCTCATTTTAAACTTGTAGGTATGATTTGTAAATACTTCTGTCAATCTACATGTTGTCTTTTGACTTTGTTACATGGGGACCTGGGCTTATTCTTACTACACGGCAGGCTGAGCACCTACATAGGAACGCAGGCTGGGAAGAATCACAAACCTTGAACTTCTACAAACAGAACCTCTAGTTAGGCCATTTTTCTTGAGGTAGCGGATGAGTAAGGGTGAGACTTAGGGCTGGGCCAGTCAGGAACTGATACAGTGAGACAGTAGAATTAGGAGGAGATGAAGGAAACCTGCGGGGCTAAGAAAATCCTGGAGTCTAGGTGTGATGGTCCCCTGGCCCACTAATGGGATTTTTATGGATCTCAGAGAAGTTCTGTTGTCTGTCTGGTCATATGCCTTCAGAGTCCATGAGAAGCTCACAGTTTGGTTCAGACACACAGGGCTCAGGCCTATGGGCAGGTAGACCTTTGTGCTGGTCCTTCCTCTGTTTAGCATTAGCTCATCTTTAGCTTAAAAAGGGATGATGCATTCACAGGGTTAGGTGGTGGCATCTGTTGATATCTGCTGGGGCCTGGCTTACAACAGTCATAGAAGTCATTTTAGACACCCTTTCTACCTAGGATGAACATTCACAGCTCAGAGAAAGGGTCATGGGGGGTTCCCTGAGGAGAAGGTGTAAGATTGAACAGATGAGTTGGGATGAGGTGCACTGGACTTCTTACCCACTGGGTCCCTTCGGGTGTTAGTAGCTTTGGTGACTTCCACTGGGCGAGGTAAAGTTTTTTTCTGCGGGGATTCAGCTTTCAATTTTTCTGGAATCAAAGAAGTGATGGGCAAAAAGTAAAGGTGAGAAAACAGGATTTACTGAGGTACCCAGGGGAGTGGAAAGCAGCAAAAGGGGAGGCCGCAGGATGGAAGGGTACTAGTGTGGAGAGCTCCGGGCTCAGCCATTGCCTTTGCTCACCCAGCTGCCTCCTTGCACTTTTAGTACAGAGTCCCCAGGGCATGATGTAGGCAGCAGAGAGGAAGAAAGGGAGGAGAGGGATGGGGGAAGAGTAAAGAAAGGGAGGGACCAAGGGTGGGGGTCTTGCTTCAGTTAGTCTTTGAGCATGGCTGTAGGAAGCCCCATAAGATCTTTCTGCATGGTTCAGGCATACTCACCAGGCAATTGGAAAGTCTTTTCATCAGACAATTGGGAGTTGTTTTTTATGATGCAAGTGTGGGTGCCGTTGAGTTCTGAGGCCCACAAAGAGAGCTGGCTACTCATCACATAATCCTCATCAAGCTTTTTTGGGGGGAAGGCGCTCTTATTCGTGTACTTTGCGGTTGACTTCCAGCTGATTTCCACCGACTGCAAATGGTTTCCCAATACCAAGCAGGCCAGCCCCACCAACTGGTTTTGCTTTGGGAAGTCACACTCTGAGAAGAGGAGGAACACTTGTGGTGTCTTGGTAGACTCTGTGAGACAGACAGGGGAGTCCTAAGAACATGGGACTGGAAACAACGGTGACACCTGAACAGTATCACTTCATGCCAGATTCATAAAAATGACTCATAGTCCCAGGTAGGCTGGGAAAGAAGGGCTTTGAAGCCCTCTGGCCAGTCTCAGGAGTATCCATCTCTCTGCCACCATCTCTTTTCTGAACCCTCCTCAGCTTTCTTGGGAAGAGACCTACCCCCTCTTCCAAACACCAGTGGCCCTATCCCTCCTGGATGTAATTATCCCATGACCTTGACAGGAACAACCAGCCTTCTGCATCCTCAGAGCCTCCCAAGTAGCCTGGAACACCTGAATAGAGCATTCTGGCTCCCTTTCCCAAGGGAGCCATGCTTTGGGTCTCTCTGGGCTACTCTTCCTTCTCAGGTTCTGGTCTGTCATATATTTTCAGTGTCCCACTCCCCATATCCCAGAGACATGCGGAGGATACATAGGTGCAGACATGGGGTAACTGGTGCCCTCTCACAGATTTGCCTACTGAAATTCTAAGCCTGGAATTCCAACATCCACTGTGGGGATGTCAGGGCTCATCACCAAATTCCAGATTTATTTGAGGCATTGTCACCTCAGCATCCTGCCTCTCATACCAGCATCTGTGTTAGTTTCCTTGGGCTGCTGGGGGAACATGCCACACGTGGAAGCTTGAGCAACAGAATCCTGTTCTTTCCCAGTTCTAGAGGCCAGAAGTCTGGGCTACAGCAAACTGGTATCCTCTGGGCCTCAGAGCGTCTGCCAGAGACTTGTAGCTCTGGCCTCTAGAACTGGGAAAGAACAGGATTCTGTTGCTCAAGCTTCCACGTGTGGCATGTTCCCCCAGCAGCCCAAGGAAGCTAACACAGATGCTGGTATGAGAGGCAGGATGCTGAGGTGACATTGCCTCAAATAAATCTGGAATTTGGTGTTGAGCCCTGACATTTCTACAGTGGCTTCTCAATAGCTTGCTGTTCTCTGTGCCCTGCAGCTACCCACGTGAATCCCCAACTCAGGGGCCATCACCAAGGTGCTATCCCAGGCTCATTTAATGTCTCTTTAGGAGTTTATCATCTACATAGTTCCCTCCCAGTACCTGCTGTTCTCTCTCGGGCTCTGCTCCCAGGCCCTCCTCTTACTGCAGTTAGCCTGGACTTCCTATGTCTGTGGGCTTCACCAGCTGTCCACACCATGAGCAAGGAAGTATCCTGCACTGTCCTCATCTTGTATTTGCAGGTCTTTCCTCTCTGAACTGAAGCCCATGACCCACACCTCTCTTATTTCTACTCTTGTTCTGTGGCCAGGCCTTTATCTGTCTTTCTTGAGTGACTGCAGAGCCTTTATCCTGTTTCTTCATATCTTTCTTCATATCAGCAGTTATCATAACAGAGAGTTTGAGTTTCTGAGTTATTGACTGATCTCCAGGACCTGGCACATTGCAGGAGATAAACATCCTGTATATCTCAGTCAATTCCCACAAGGTACACCCACCATACCACAAACTTTTGGGATAAGACCCAAAGTATCGTGCTAGCTGGGAGCAGCACCAGTCCAAGATGGTGAGCTGAGCTCCAGAGCAGAGACCCAAATTGGAGGCTAGTTTCCAGATTCTGAACACTTTAGGGGAAATCAGGCTTGGGATTTTCTCTGCCCTGCTTCTTTTCTTCCATCAGGGTGGATAAGACGGAGCGCTACCGTTGCTGTCAAAGCTCACTTTCTTTCTCTCTTTCCCTCCCTCCTTCCCCTTTTCCATCCCTCCTTCCCCTCTTTCTCCCTTAAGTCCCACCAGACCATTCCATTGCCAGTTCTCAAACTCCCTTCAGATAATCCTTGTGATGTCAACACTTCAGGACAGGTTTGAAAATAAAACAACTTTCTTCACAATAAAGTGAGTTCACAAGATAAGGTATTTATTTATTTCCAACAACACTTGTAGTCAGTACAGCCGTATGTGGTCCAGACCCTGCTTCAGGGTACACAGGTTGACAAAGTCCTTGACCCAGAAGTCCAACTCAGAGCTCCAAGCCGGAGGGTGATACAAGAAAGAAAGGAATAAGTTTACTAGTCCTACAGGCAGGCCCACCCCAGGCCCAGAGGTAATGCCCTTGTGGGAGGGTTTCTTGGTCTCTGATGTCCTTCTGCGCTGTGAGTCACTTCACCTGCAGGTGATAGAGACAGTGTAAATTGCTGTCCATTTTTAGGGAGCAGAGGTATGGGCGATGAGAACCACTGGCTCCCTGCCCTGTGTACTCAGCGCCACAACCACACTACCTTGAACAGCGTGACAGTGGTGCTGTAGAAGAGACTCAGGAGAAAGAGGACGATGAAGGTGGAGGCCGTGGTCCATAGGTTCTCAAAGCCTTCCTCCTCAGCATTCACCTCCCCCTCTGTGAAGGGACACACAGAGGGAGGGTCAAGCCAAGCCTTGGGGTAGCTGAACACCTCCCTGAGGGTTGGAGAGTCTTAGCCAGTTTTGACTGGTTCCCCTAACAGTTCAAGCTAGACAGAGGCACAGCATAGGTCAAAGTGAAGGAGGCACCAACTTGGGACCTTATCCTGGGAGCACTGGGGCAGCAGAGGCAAGCAAGACAGGTATAGCACATGGACATGGGATGGAGGCAGAGTCAGAAACCCTGGCATAATGGCATTGGTGTGCTCTGGACTTCCTCTGAGTGGGTGGCAATGTCAGGACTGCTTAGACTGAAAATTTAGACTAGGGTTCTGTCTCCAGGCTTTGGGAAGAAGAGCATGGGGCACCTGAGGCTATCCCTCCTTACTTCCTGAAAGACTCAGCATCTCATGCTCCTCTTTGAGCAGAGTTCCTGTGGGTGGCTTGTCCTACTCCTACTAGCAATGCTGGGTCTTGGTACCAAGACTCAGACAAACACCGAGGGAGACAGTGGGACCAGGGCATTTATTGGGGTCTCTGACCCCTGTAAAAATGAGTACTTGGGAATATCTAAAGCCCAGGCCCCAAATTATTAAGAACATGAAGAATTTCCAGGATGCTGGCCCAAGGAGACAGTGTTATTGGGTCCTTACAGGGACTCCAATGACCCATGCTGCGGGGACTCAGCTTCTTCTGGACAATTGCATTATGTATTCTGCATTCTGGACTGGGGACCAGGGTATTTGTGAGTGGGACAGGCACTCTCTCATTGATCTCCTGAGGTGTTCTACTAATGGAGGCACAGTAAAGGGCAACTTTCTGTTTTTGGGTGGATTTGAAGACCATGTGCTCTCTCTAGGCACAGTCTGTCTTGTATCTGTCATAGGTGGTCAGAAGACTGTCCCATGGTGCTGGGACAGGAAGGCATGTTCTTTGCTTGGAGCTATCTCCCCTAAGCATAGACTGAGTTCCCTGAGAAGCTTCAGTGACCCAGTCTGGTGTTGGCTCTCTGGGCCCTGAGCCCTGGAGATTAAGGTCTTGGTCAGCGTCCAGGTGTATTTGTGTGCCATGCCTGTGTACTTGTTAGTATGGACATTTAGTTAGTTAGATGTTTCTGTACATGCATGTGCATGTATGTCTGTGTGCCTATGTGGTTCAGTTGTTTATATTTGTCCATATTTTTGTTTCGGTGTACACATGTCCATGTGTGTTGGTATCTGTTTCTGTGTTTGGCTCTGTGTCTATGTGCATTTGTATGTTTCTGAAGGTATTTGTATGCGTCCATGCAAGCATGTGTGCTTGAGCTCATGTACATGTATGTGTTCCTGAGTGTGAGGGTGGTTCTGTGCATACTTTTATGAATGAATACATATTTGTGCATGTGTCTACACATGTGTGCCTATATCTGTGTCCAAATGTATGTTTCTGTGTGTGTGTGTCTGTACATGTGCCTGAATTTACCAGGGTAGCAAAGCTTCCAGCCATATATCTAGAAACAGCTGGAGGGATGGCATGCTTACACTCTGTCTATTGTAAGTCTTTTGGAGTTCACACAGAAGGAGGCAATTGGCAAGGTAGAGGAAGGGTCAAGGTGGAGGAAAGTCTGCAGGGTGTGCGCAGGGCAAACAGAACACAACATAGCTGTTGCCCCAGCAGGCAAAAGCATTGCATAATCAAAACCAGTGACTTTTGAATGGATTTTATTATTTCTAATTTTTATAAAATGCAACATCTTACTCTGACATGGTTAGTTTGCAAACACAGAGCAACTAGACCCCCAGAGCCTGCCTGGTAAGGGGCTAGCGTGGTCAGTAACAGGTGCTGCCTGTGTCAGACATGATCAGGGATACATTGTACAGTGTGGGTTTACCAGTGGACTTGTCCACGGTCCTCTCGGTCACCATGTGTGGCAGGGCCTCGTGGCCTACAACACAGGTGTAGGTCTCCCCGGAGTTCCATTCCTCCTCTGTCACGGTCAGGATGCTGTGGGTGAAGTAACGGTCTGGGGCCTGGGGTTCTGGCATTGGGGCACTGGTCACATACTTGTCTGAGGACAAGGGTTGACCCCTCTGAAGCCACTGCACAAAGATGTCTGCAGGAGAGAAGCCTTTCACTAGGCAGGTGACTGTGGCTGACTCTCTCAGGATCAGTTGCTCGCGGGCTGGTGGCAGCAGGTACACAGCAGGTGGGTGCTTGACCACCTCTGTAAGCAGAGACAGTGGTGAGGATAAGGGTGGAAGGGGGCCTACCATCGCCATGAGATAGAGGAAGGGCACTGGGAAGGAAAGGGGAAATCCCTACCTCTGGGCTTTGAGATAAATTTCTTCTGTGGTGAAGGCAGGTCCCTGTGAGTCACGGTGCACACAAACTCCTTCTTGCTATCCCAGTCTTCGACACAAACATTAGCCACACCCATGGCACTGAAGGTGCCATTGGGGTGGCTTTCAGTGAGTGTGATCTTGGTTTCCAGTGGCTCCCCATTTTGGGAAGTCCAGGAGATATTCAGGGTGTCATAGGTTGCTAGGTTCGTGACTAGGCAGGTCAGCTTGGCAGACTTGTTGAGGAAGATGTCAACAAAGGAGGGGGGAATGGGGAAGGCTAGGATGTCTGTGGATGGACCTGTAGTCAAGAGAAGATTGTGTCAGTGACTGTCTAGTTGTGAAGTCAGAGAAAAGTTTAGTTTCTGTCCCCTAAATAGTACCGATTGATTTACTGAGCTTCTGAATCTCTGCTTAAGGGAAGACACTGGTCTTGGCCCTTGAAGCCAAGGCTCAAGGAGCAAGGGGCCATGTTAGGGTGCATTAGTCATACTTATAAGAGGGTTGCCCTGATCTGGGGGGGGGGCTAGTCACTGGACTTAGGACGTGGTACTTACTGGTAGCACATGTGGAAGACACATTTTTCCAGAAGGTGAGACCCCTGTGATCTACACGGCACGAGTACACATTCAGGTTCAGCCAGTCGCTTTCAGTGATGGTTAATGTGCTTCTAACCTTGAAGGTTCGGGGTCCAGATCCTCTGTCTTCAGTCGTCACTGGCTCTGTGGTGAAGCCAGACTTCACAGGCTTCCCATCATGTAGCCAGGACACTGTGATCTGTTTGGGACTGAAGTTGGAGGCCTCGCAGATAAGTCTGGACTTGCGCGGTGCAGGGCCATAGAAGGCATCACGTGGTGGAATGAACACACTGACATTGGGGTTTATCTCTTTGACAACTAGAGGGAAAGGACATGGTATGAGCTCAGCTTGGTCTAAGCCCCAGCCCTCTGGTCCCCCTGGGCCATGCCTGGGTCTCTGCCCCCACTGGGACGACTTGGGTCTTACCTGGAATGGGCACACGTAGATCATTGTTTCTGTCACCATGGTGGGCTTTGCAGACCAGGTATTCATCTGAACCCTCAAGGACATTCTTAGGAGACAGGAAGACCTGCGAGGTGGCTATATACTTTTCTCCTGTCCTCATAGTTGGGTAAGTTCTGACACCCTGGTTGATTTCAGAGTTGTTCTGGTAGTTCCAGGAGAAGGAAATGGAGCTGGGCAGGAAGTCTCGTGCCAGACAGCCCATGGCCACCAAATTCTCATCAGACAGGGGGCTCTCGCAGGAGATGAGGGGGAAGAGAGTTGGGGAGGATTTACTCTCTGAGGATCAGCAAGGGATAAAAAAGAGAAATGGAGGAGTAAGAGTCTGTCTTCTTGTCCCCTGCCAGTCAGGCGATCTGTACACTCCCCTGCCTTTGTGGCTGGTGTTCTTAAGGCAGACAGGGCTAGATATGGTAGTAGGTGGACCTGGCCTACTGGACAAAGTTACTGAAGGTTATGGAGCCAACATGGCTGGAACTTTGGAAGCCTTCATGGACATGGAGAGATGCCTGCTTAGAGTGGGTGGATCTGGCCCTTCAACCATCATCAGCCAGATCCAGGGACCCTAACCCCTGTTCTCAGGGATAATCCTAATTCCCAAGGGTTCAGGTAGGCTTGGCCCTGTCCTGCCCTGCTTCCCTCTGAGACAGCAGCTGAGAGAAGCCCTCTCATTCCATAACAATAGGAATCCCAGCAGGAGGTAGAGGTGGTGGGGGTGGGGCTCAGGCTTCATTTCATATCAGGGCACAAAACTTGAATCCACACACTGGGAGGGCAGGTTGCTTGGTTCATGCGGTAGTAGAAGCTGAGATTGCTGCTTGTTCTGAAACCTCTCCAGCCAAGCAGACAAGGTGTGTCAGGAAGGAGGAAGGTGGGTTATGATGGGGGAACTCATGGAATCATCTTGAACCTTGAACCTTGGCATACATTCTGCCCAGAACAAAATGCTAGCCAAGCTGGTCCAGGCCTGGTGAAACTCATTCAGTTCAGCTTTACTCTTTCCATCCCAGACTAGCTAAACTATTTCAGGCCTAGCGCACCACAGCGTACCCCAGCTCACTTCACTCTATCTTAACTAAACTAGCCTGAGTCTAGCTCAGCTTAGTTTAGTTTATCTTAGCTCAGCTCAGCTCAGTTCAGTTCATTCTATCACAGCCTAGCACAGCCTAGCCTAGTTAAGCTGATGCAAGCCTGGGTAAATCTAGCTCACCCCAGCCCAGTTTAGCTCAGGCGGGTTATGGTTGGCCAGCATACCTCATCCCCGCTCTGATCAGGTTACCATACCAGGTTAGCTCAGCTGGCTGAGCCCATTTTAGTTCATCCCAGCCTGGCTGATCTTAGTTTAATTCAGTGTAGCCCTAGTCAGCCCAGTCTAGTCCAACTCAACCAGCCTAGTCAAGCTCAGTCCTCTTCAACTAAACTCAACTCAGGCTACCTCAGCCAGGTCAGCTCATCTAAACCCTGCTAATCCCGATTTATCCCAGCTCATCCCAGACCAGCCTAGCTCAGCTCAGCTGGCCCAACGTTAGCTCAGTCAACTCAGCCCAGTGCGTACTAGTTGATCCCAGCAGCATCTAAAACAGCTCGATTCATTTTATCCCAGCCCTTGACAGCCCAATTCATGGTAGCTCAGCCTAGTCCCGTCCTGCGCAGTTAGCCTAGTCAACCTAGCTCACCACAACCCAGCTTAGTCCAGTTCATCCCAAACGAGGTTAGCCAGTTCAGCTCAGCCTAACCCAATTTAGTTCAGTTCTGCCTGCTCTGCCCATTCAGCCCAGCTCATTTTAACTTAGCCTAACTTAGCCTAGTATATTCCAGCTCAGCAGGCAGCTCAGTTTAACTGAGCTCAGCTCACCCAAGCTCAGCTCACCCCAGTTCTGCTCAGCTCACCCCAGCACAGCCCAGCTCAGCTCTGCTCAGCTCAGCTCACCCCAGCTCAGCCCAGCTCAGCCCAGCTCACCCCAGCTCAGCTCAGCTCAGCCCAGCTCACCCCAGCTCAGCCCAGCTCAGCCCAGCTCAGCCCAGCTCACCCCAGCTCAGCCCAGCTCACCCCAGCTCAGCCCAGCTCAGCCCAGCTCACCCCAGCTCAGCTCAGCTCACCCCAGCTCAGCTCACCCCAGCTCAGCTCACCCCAGCTCACCCTAGCTCAGCTCACCCCAGCCCAACTCACCCCAGCCCAGCTCACCCCAGCTCAGCTCACCCCAGCTCAGCTCAACTCAGCATAGTCTACCTCATTCCAGCTCACCAAGCCCAGCTTTGCTTGCTTGCCCCAGAACGATCACCTCAGCTTGGTACATGTTAGAGGAGCTCAGAGAAGCTGAGCCTTTTCCAGTTCAGGTCATCCGTCTCAACCCAGCTTAGCTTGCTAGAGCCTTGCTTACCGGGGCTTTCAACCTTGTTCATGGAATTCTACTCAGTCAACTTTGTTAGTCCAGCCTTCTCTGTACAGCTCTTTTACTGTGGCTGGGAACCTAGAGACCAGGAGATTTAGCCCAGCCAAGCAGTCATCATCTCTTTCTCATTTCTGTCCAGCTACTGTAGCCTTCATTCTGAGTATCCACACTCTGATCCCTGTCCTTTCACACTGACCTTAGCTTCAAAGCACTGTCCTTCGATACCATTCTTTAACAACCATGAAGTATATTTACTGACAACTTCAAATTCATTAGACCATCTTGAGATGTAGATCAAGAAGGTAGTAACATTTTCTATAAAAACTAAAAACATCTTTTGCTCCAGAATCCCAGCATTAGTCTGGGTCTTTCTTACTGAGTCTCAATTAGCTTCCACTTTAAGTTTCTTCTAAATTAAAACCATCATTAACAACCACTGAGGCATTCGTTTTATCTATTGTTTAAGACAAGGCAGTATTAAGAATTGATACAAAATTCAAAGTCACATGCGTAACTGAGGCAGAGACAGCGCTAGTAACCCAAGTAATACTTAACTGAAATAATTCCAGACGATTGTATAAGAAATATAAACTTTCTCTAAGATTTCCTTAAAATACCAGAGCCCCATAATCTATAACCTTTTTCTTTTACAGGTTTTTAAAAGAAAAGTTAATGTAAGTGACCCAGACAATAGCACTCAAAAGACACACAAATATTCTTTCTCCCCCTAAAGCAGTGACTGAAGACCAAGTCCCTCTCAAGCAGAAACAATCATCAAACTCAAGCTTTAAGAGCGGCAGCCACAAGTGTGGCTGCCTCTGGCTTACCGTTTAGGGTGCCTGGTTTCGGGGAGATCGAGGGTCTTTGAGTGGAATTGGTACTTCAAGGCCATCGAGACTGGCTGGTCCAGAAGCAGCCAGGTGGATGAGTGGCAGAAGCCACCATAACTGTACATTCCCAGGTCTGGGTGGTCCTGGGAGACCCGAGGTCCAGGTCTGCCCAGCAGCAGCTCAGTCTCAGCCCTTTGGCCAGGTCTTCAACAAGAAGCCAGGCCAGAAGGACTTCAAAGAGAACGTGTCTGCTGTGGATTGACTTAGATGCCTTCTTTCTTTTGCACTATCTGACTGAGTGTCCTCTCAAGCACCAAATGCATGTTCAGCTGAAATTATTCTAGGTAACTGCATTCATTTTTAAAAGCTTTCTCTTAAAATGATTACTTAGGAAATGTTCTTGAAAAAGACTTAGGGAGTCAAAAGAGCCATCTTTACCAGAAAGTCAAAGTCTTTCTTAATCATAAAGGCAAAACCAACTAGCTTAAAAAATCATGAACAAAGTCACTGTAAATGCTTTGGGTAATGGAAAAAGAACTGAGTTGAGATCAATGATTAGAGGGAAGAATAATTAAGTAATTTCAAAAAGTTTTCTAAATACATTAGAAATTAAAAGCATGAAAGCCCTTCAGTTTCTTACATAGTCTAACTTTGAAAATGAATACATCTTAGAAGTTGATAGATTTGAGTTTGTGAAACTAGAACTTCACAAGGTAAAACTGAAAGATTACTAAGTTAGAAGAAAGAGGGCCTTTCCAGTTTCGGCTGAATTCCCAACTTATTTTAGAAATGCAAATTACCCAGGTGTTGTTTTGCTCAGTCTGGACTTTCAGTTCTGCCGGACTGGGCAAAACATTTCAAAACTTCTTCAAACCGCAGCTAGAATTTACCTAGTGGCTTTGTTTTTCTTTCCCAAAATAGCCTTGCCACATGATCTGCTTCCTGCAAGCTGCAGCAGGTGTCCTGGACCCGTTAGCCATCTTGACTCAAACTCAACTTTGCTCAATTCATTTAAAAATATTTTAAATTTAATTTATTATTATTAAAAGTCAGTTCTGAATAGGATGTGAAAGACCCTCATCTCCCCTTCCTCTGCTGAACCTTCGCCAATGCCAATTACAGACAAACATTACTTCAAATTGAGTGACTAGAATTTTCAATACTTGGACATTTAAAAAAAATGAATACTTGAAAAAAATCTCTCACATTATAAAGCCATAGTATTCTAGCTATTTTTCTCAGGAACTACTTTAAGGATAAAAATGATACCTTCTTATATTCCATAAGCACACTTCTGTAGGCTCCCCAGACTCCTCTAGGTACCAGCTACCCTTCCTGAGATGAGCCCACTGTGCATCTCTAAGACCAAGGCTAGCTGCCATCCTTGCCTCATTTATTCACTCAGACAGTTCTTTTTCCAACAAAGAAAGTTTTAAACAGTCAAGTGCAGAACATGCCTCACAAGCCTAAGGCTCCTCTCCCTGTACTGAGCAACCTGCCGCTGTTCAAACGCTCACACAGAATCGGTCCCGAAGCACATTTCCCAGCCAACCCTGTGATTCCAAAAAATTAATGCCTCCTACCACATCTCAAACTACCCCTCCAGCCATGGGTCATTTCAGCATCTCACACAAACGAGGCTCTCAAGTCCCCTACCCCATCATCCAGGGTCTCCCCCAATATCATCAGACAGGTCTTTCCCTAATAGTCTTTCAAAGGTGTAGAAATATTCAAAAGGCTCTGTGATCGCTAGGCAGTGAGTCCCCAGATCCATTCCACCAGCCATCCACCCATGTTCCCTCAGGGATAAATCTCTAGGACTAATCTGCAATGCTCAGAAAACTCCATAGGCAAAGATTAAAAATGAAGGCCCAGAGAGGCCATTCTTACCTGAGGAGACGGTGACTTGGGTCCCTTGACCCCAGTAGTCCATAGCATAGTAATCACAACGGTGAGATTTCCATCCATACCACACAAAAACCCTCTGAGCCTGACTAGAGGCCCCCGGGCTACTCAGGCACTATGTCGACTCCCAGTGCCCCACAAGAATCAATCATTCAAGTCATTGTCTCCTACTTCTTCCTTGCCCGGGAAAATGTCCCTGGACCTTCCTTCAGTTTTCAAGGTGACTGATGTTTCAGCCTTACCTCTGCGAAACCAAATAACCACTGACTCTGGACTTGTCACCAGAAACTGGTAGCCTCTGATTCACACAAGAGTCTGATAAATCCTAGATGGAAGCCTGCCCAGACTGCAAGCCTCAGTTCTGGCAGACCCTTCCTCACATCACCACAGACCAGTGGGGAGAGAGCCCGGACCCAGACCCCTCTGTCTCAATTTGGGGGCAAAAGGATTGAATTTCAATTCCCAGTTATAGGGAGTCTTGGTCTGGATAGCTCAGAGTTCCCCTAAGTACATTTAGAATGGGAAAAAGTAGGACTCACCTGAAGAGACAGTGACCAGAGTCCCTTGGCCCCAGTAATCAAACCAGTTGTCACATTGTGACAAACATGATAAGATCCCAGACAATAAAAGGCTCTTGACAAGGGTAGTGGGGATAAGGGGACCCTAGCGGCAAGGGTGGCTGGGATCCCCACAGACCCCTGGCTGTAAAGTCTGGGAGCTGAAGGTGACTGCCTGTGTCAGCCAGGGCCCATGAAGACCCTTCCCGACTCCCAGGTTGTCCCTAGCCTGAATTCATGACCTGAAACTCAGATGCACTCATTTCCCCCGACAAATGCAGTAAAATCCGCCTGAGTTGAGTAGAAGAGAGGGGCTGGAGGGACTCACCTGAGGAGACGGTGACCATGGTTCCTTGGCCCCAGTAATCAAAGTAGTCACACTGTCACAAGCCCCTTTAGTGGGTGTACACAAACCTCTATCTCTAGCCTTCCTCCCAAGCCACATTTCCTAAGGCTGCCATTGTCCCACAGGTTGTAGCCTCTGACTGCCTCCTATCCTGGCAGCAAAGACTCCAGCCTTACAGAAAGACATCTGCAGTATGCTGAGTCTGCAGACGGCTCAACTCGGGGAAATCTGTGAATATCTTTCCCAGATTCAGAATGCAGGATGCAGAAAGAAAGCCAGCTTACCCGAGGAGACGGTGACTAGGGTCCCCTGACCCCAGACAGCAAAAGCATTGCACAGGGACATGGTCCCTACCGTTGCCCAAACAAAAACCTGACCCCCAATCTGGACTGACACAGATCATCTAGAGACCCCAGAGACTTGGCTGCTCAAGTCAGAGAAGGTGGGAGTGAACAGAGATCTTACCTGAGGAGACGGTGACCAGGGTCCCCTGACCCCAGACATCGAAGTACCAGTAACACAGCCTGTGCTCTGCCTCTGCTCCTGAACTAAAACCTTCACCACAGCCTGACTTGGAATCCCAGTCCCCAGATGAGTTACTTACCTGAGGAGACGGTGACCAGGGTCCCCTGACCCCAGACATCTAAGTTCCAGTAACACAGCCTGTGCTCTGCCTCTGCTCCTGAACTAAAACCTTCACCACAGCCTGACTTGATATCCCAGTCCCCAGATGAGTTACTTACCTGAGGAGACAGTGACCAGGGTCCCTTGACCCCAGACATCGAAGTAAGCATAGACACAGTGAGGTAACCCTATATCTAGGGCCATAAAAAACCCAGTCAAAAGTCTCTTGGAGTCCTCAGGGGGCCCCAAATCCCAGAAACTTAGCTGTTTGGAGAGACCTCCATTTAAGCTCAGCTGAACGGGGCATACTTGTAGGATGGTATCTTTTGGGCTAGAGTCAGCTAGCATAGTGAGACTCTTTAAAAAGAGAAGAAAACAGGAGAAGGAACAAAGGAAGGGGAGAGGAAGCCATGCCTACCCTGTACTCTTAGCAAACCTTACCTGCCTACCGCTGTCCTGGGATCCTCTCCCAAGTCCTTGGCAGAGTGCTGCAGCCTTCTGCTGCCTGTGTTTTCTCATGCTTTCCTGCTTAGGAGCCCAGGACCTGTCCACAGTAGCTCTCTCTCCCTCTGCACTGTCTCCTGCCCTCCAGAACCTTACTGTCCCTCTCAGACCCACTCTTTTCTCCCTCAGCTTTCTCAAGCTCCCAGGCTGCCCCTAGGAAACTCCAAACAGAAGGTTTTTGTTGAACCATGAGTCACTGTGGCCCCAGTTAGCACTGTGGTTCTCTGCTCAACCAAAACCTTGTACCAGCCACAGACCACAGGGACCTTGACTCTGAAACCTCACAGTAGCCACAGAGTATGGAGATCCCAACCCCCAAACTGCCAGTCATCTCTCATGTAAGGGGCCAATTATTTTTCTCAAACAAGTATTAAAGTTCTGGAGCTTGTGGGTCTTTCCCTCTCTTTACAATAAGCGCAGATATGAGCAGGGACCACCTCCATCACTCACCTGGATGTCTATCAGTCATGGAGAAAGGTCTGTGATGGTGGTGGGGGCACTGCCCCTTCCTGGGCAGCGCTGGAGGTACTTTATCCATGACTGGATACCTCTGAGGTGCACTTGGGTGCCTGTCAGGCGCTCAGGCTGTCCTTTGCTTTCTGATCCTATTTGTATAACAGGAAAGTGACCTAAATTCAAGTCTAATGTGTCATCACAATGGTCCTGAAAGGGCAGCATCGTTGGTGCTGTGTCACCCATGTCCAGAGAGGATGTGTCTCCTCCTGGTCTTCACCAGAGCTTCTCAGCAAGAGGTCTTAGCTGTTCTGGGTGGTACGGGGGAGCAGTTCAATGCTCTAAGATAAAGTTCTTTGCTGGTGGTACTCTCCTGACCTGGTGGGGTCAGGTGGTGGTGGTGTGGATCCCAAGCTAGGGAAGAGTCTATATTTTACATATATGAGTTTGTTCAGAACTAGGCCCTACAGGTTAGCAGTGGGTGCCTAGGGAATATGGAGGTTTGTAGTTCCAGGCTACATATAAGACTCTGGTAAGTAAGAACCTTGGGGACATAGATGGTACGAGACGATCAGGAGGGGAGGTGACTGTGGCCTGGGGACCTGGGGCAGAGGTGGGGTGGGTGAGTAGGAAAGGTGGTGTCTGACTTGGTGACCTGGTGACATGGGAAGGTGGGGTGACCTGGAAGGGGAGTGGGCCATAGCCTAGGGCTTCCCACTCAAGAGTGAGAGTAGAGGGCCAGCCTTCTTTGCTCTCTCGGCTGGGGTCCTGCTGTGTGGAGGAGCTCTAGGTCTTGGATCCTCATGCCCCATCACTTCCCAGAATCTTTTTTCTCTCAGGTCTATCTAGCTGGTCTCTTAAAAGGAGAGGCATAGGGCTGCCCCAGGTCCTCCAGGGAACTCCTGTTCCTGCTGTAGTCCCTCAGTTACTGAAAACGGAGTGGAAGATGTCTTCTAAGGACTTCCCAGTCTATAATTTGAGCTGTCATAGGCTTTCCTCATTACTCACTGCAGAGGTCTAGTTAAACTATAGGCACTATTGCCTGCTTGGGTCTTAGTCACCTCCTGTGGCACAATATGCCTTGTAGTGACAAGTGTGACAAGTGTGACAAGATATGACATCCCAGGAGGAAGCTCTGGACCTGCCCGTCACCTCTCAGCTAGGCAGAGCTACTGTGGATCACTATCACACAATAAATCCACCTATCTACATTTCTGCTTTCTGTGTGCCTCTTCCACAGTATCCATGGTCTAGGTCTGAAGATTTCTGCTCTACATACTATGGACATGTGCCAGGAAAAATACATAGTTATTCTTGTTTGCTTCTCTGTTGCTATGATAAATATCACAACCAAAAGCAACTTGGGGAAGAAAGGGTTTATTTCATCTTATAACTTAAAATCTATCACTTAGGGAAGTCAGGACAGAATCATAGGCAGAGATGAAGCAAAAATCATGGAGGAATGATGCTTATTTGCCTTGCTGCCTCTGGCATTCTCAGCTATATTTCTTATATGGTCCAGGCCCAGGTGCCTAAGGATGGTACCACCCACAGTGAGCTTGGCCTTCCTACATTAGTTACCAGTCAAGAAAAGGCCCACAGACATTCCCATAGATCAATGTGATGCAGGCAATTCCTTAGTAGAGATTTTATCCTTCCAAGTGTATCAAGTTGATAACCAGGATTAGTCATTATAGTGTTGTAGACATGTGCCCTAGAAATAGCCAGGTAAGGAAACCGGATCTGTACAATGAAATGGCCAGAGCTGGGCCTACTTGCTAGGGCTGAGATGGTCTTTCAGCCTCTGCCTCATGGCTGGAGTCTTCTGGGACCCTATTCCAGGTACCCTCTCTTGCCTAACCGTATCCTGTCAGATTCTGTCCTGACAGGTTTTACCCTGTCCTACCTTGCTTATTCAACTCTACACTTTAACACATTCTGTACCAAGTACCTAGTTCTTGGCTTGAGTACTCTGACTGGGACTTGGAGCTCTGCTGAGGACTAGACATTCAGGTAGGTGGAAAACTCACTCTGTACATTCAACTTATATATGAGTCAGAGCAGGTTCATTGTAGAGCTGCTGAGAGCAGTTGGTGAGCTGTGGGTGCCCTTATGGGTTGTGGAGATAAGGGCTTGAAAGATGGTTAGACAACTCTGAGATTCTATCTTACATCTGTAAAAATGGCCAAGATCAAAAACACTGATGACAACTTATGCTAAAGAGGATGTGGGGTAAAGGGAACACTTCTACATTGGTGGTGGGAGTGCAAACTGGTAGAACCACTTTGGATATCAGTATGGTGATTTTTCAGAAAAGTAGGAAACAACCTTCCTTAAGACCCAGCAATAACACTTTTGGGTCTATATCCAAAGGATGCTCAATCATACCACAAGGACATGTGTTCAACTATGTTCATAGCAGCATTATTTGTCATAGCCAGAACCTGTAAACAACCTAAATGCCCCTTGACCGAAGAATAGATAAGGAAAATGTGGTACATTTACACAATGGAGTACTACGTAGCAGAAAAAAAAAATGACATCTTAAAATTTGCCAGCAAATGAATGGATCTAGAAAACATCATATTGAATGAGGTAACCAGGATCCAGAAAGACAAATATCACATGTACTCACTCATAAGTGGCTTTTAGACATAAAACAAAGGAAAACCAGCCTACAATTCATAATCCTAGAGAACCTACACAACAACAAGGACCCTAAGAAACATACATGGATATCATCTACATCGGAAGTAGAAAAAGATAAGATCTCCTGAGTAAATTGGAAGCATGGGGACCATGGGAGAGAGTAGAAGGGAAGGGAAGAAGATGGGAGGGGAGTAAAGAAAAAAATATGCAGCTCAATAAAAACAATTGAAAAAAGAAAAATGGTTAGAAACAACTTTTACTTCATTATTAAACTTCTGGATCAGGATGTCAGACACAGGACATATCAGACATGATGGCTGGCATGTGCTCAGAAGACAATGGCAATGGAAAGCTCAACCAAGAGTCCAGGTCCTGAAGGTGGGGCCTCAGCGTGTTGGTGTGCTGGACTGGCTTTGGCAGTCCTAGGGCCTAGCACTGCAGTGGACTAGGCAGTTGAAACAGGAGTACTCCTGATGTCCAGGCATGGGAGAGTGCGTTGTAACTAGATTTGACTTTGGTCTGCCTCTGCCCTAGAGAGGTGTTCTCTACATTCTTGAGGCCACCACTGTCTGCGTACTTCACTCCAGAAAGGAATCCCCTAGGTAAACACCAGGAACAGAAATCTTCATTTCTGATTGGCAGACCAGAACTGAGCCAGCTACCTGGGCCAGAGCAGACCTGAGACAGCAAACTCTACCAGAACAGGTACAGGGGAGCAACTGCTGAGCAAGTGAGTCAGAGCCAGAGACTACTGAGGGTCTGGATGTGAACCTGGGACCTCTGAGGGAATAGGCAGGAATCAGAGACCTCTTCTGGTCCAGGCATGAGTCTGGGACCCCAGAGGGAGTAGGCCTGAGCTAGAACATCTGTGGGTCTAGGATTTGGTCCGGGACATCAAAGGGAATATGCAGGAAACCAAAAATCTCTGTGGGTCCCAGTGTGAATCTGGGACCTCTCTGAGGAAGTAAGCCTGAGTTTACTCTGTGGGTCTGGGCACACCTGAGCCTGAGAACTCCAAGTCAGTAGATCTGAGCCAGAGACATTTGCAGAACCAAATCCAAGCCAGAGACCTTTGCAGGAGCAGATTCAGATCAGGAATAACAGAACCAGGTCAAAGCCAGTAACCTAGGCTAGAGCAGACCTGAGACAGCAAAGTCCAAGGGAGTGGAGCAAAGTCTGGGAGCACAGAGTTACCTCCAAGAACACAAAGTGACAAAGGAGGTGACTAGAACCATGGCACTGGCTGTATCTGAGCCTTGGATTACTGACACCTAGAAGATAAATCAACAGGATCACAGACAGCCCCAACCACACCTATTAGAGGAAAGATGAGTAGAAAAGGTAAGAAAACATGCAAAACCACAAAGAACAACATGACACCAGTAAAACCTAAAGACTCTACAACAGCAAGACTTGAACAACCAAATATAGATGATGAAGAAGAAAATGACCTGAAAAATAACTTCAGGAGAATGTTTGAAACTCTTAAAGAGGAAATGAGAAATTCCCTCAAAGAAATGGAGGGAAAGACAAACAAAAAATTGGAATACATCAGAAAATCTCTTAAAGAAAAACAAGAAAAAACAATCAAACTTATGAAAGAAACTATTCAAAACTTGAAAACTGAATTAGAGACAATAAAGAGAACACAAGCTGAGGGAATTATAGAAATAGAAATCATGAGAAAATGATCAAGAACCACAAACACAAACATGAAGAACAGTACACAAGAGATGGAAGAGAGAATCTCAAGTGCT